CCGAAGCCGAGTCAGCGTGAGCAGCTGCAAGAAATGCCGCCTACCTCTCGCGCTTCACAGCCTCCACCAAATGCTCAACCACAACTTGCCATTCCCCCTCTGAATGCGAGTAATCTCCAACAACTTGAACGTCAGCAAGAGGAAGCCCTCCAACGTGCAAGACGAGTCCAGAATCATGCAGCCCCTCCTGCTCCGACGACTTTACAACCACCTTTCCCCCTAGGAGCCCCATCTCCACAAGGTGTTCCACATGCCTACGGACCACCCGGCTTGACGAAGGATAAATTGGTGATTCCACCCGCAAAAAGGCGGAAACAAAATCCAGCGGCTAAAACGTCTGCTACTTCGACTCCTGCAGCACCCGCATCCACATCGCAGGGTCAAAAGCAGACTCCTGCAGCAGAGACAAATAAACCAACGCCACCCGTTTCGAACTCCTTCCGATGTCCTGTATCTGAATGCGAACATCATATTAGAGGCTTTGCCACTCAAGTCGCCCTTGATACCCATATTAATGAGCTCCACAAAGTTGAGGAACTCGTTGAAAATGCACTTGAATTTGTTCTTGAGAGTTATCGTACAGCCTTAGCTATCGATAAACAAGAAAAGAAAACGCAAGAGGCAGTAGAAGATGAATCTAAGCGTAAAAACGCGCCTGAGCCTGAACTGCAGCGCCCGCCACAACCGAGCAAGCCAAGCTCAACCCCCAAGCTTAACAGTGAACATATGACACCTGGAACAACCCCCGCTGGTCGCTCAGTAAGCCAGGCTGGGATGAAGCCTTCTCCAAGTTCGAACAATGCAAAATTATCACACGGACCCGCTGCCACCGGCAATGGAACAGCTGGGTCAAATGCTAAAGAGCAGCAGAGCAAAGAAAGCAAGAAGGACAATGGTAAAAACGGCGAGCAAGAATCGTCGCCTGAGGATATGGTATTCGTCAAGGACCCGTGGGCTGAGAGTGCAATCTCGATCGAAACAATCCGCTCTGGGTTTAGTGATTGGGGGTCATTCCCTGGGCTTGAGTCTGATCCTCTTGAAGAAGTATTGATCTCAGATGTCTTCACGAATATTCGAGAGAAAGATACACCACAGTCTACAGATACCAGCGCGAATACGCACACCCCCTAGGATACTGATAGCTCCAGGGACGACGAGGTTGATGTGAACATGAGCGGATCGAACGATGATAGCTGGATCCCGTCGGACTGGGTCAATCTCCCCGGCCAGCTTGAAGGGGGTTTGCTAATGAACGAGCCCTGGGAGGAGGTCAACTGGGATGCCTTGGAAGAGAATGAATATGATCTGAACGGGAACAATCTTGAACAGGTTGTATATTCGATCTAGTTTTGTTGCACTGATTGAAGCTTTTTTCACTTGTTAAAAAATCTCTTTCTCAGTTCCTTAATATGTCCTTTGATGCTTATAACGGACAGGATTCCACAAAAACAATGAGCCATCTGTCGGGATGGCCAGTTTTGCATGACGGTTGGAGGGTTCTGGTATCTTTTTTTTTCTTCTTCATGCCATTCGCGTCTTGGATTTATGGTTAGATTTTTATATATTCGGCTTCATATAGCCGTTGGGGACCATTTCATTTTCATTTTCAATTTCTTTTAATTTAAATTCGTCCCCTCGTATCTTGTCCAAGCCTTTGCCATGATATTTCTCTTTTCTTTTCTTTCCGAAAAGCGAGGTGTTTCCGGCTCTTAGATCTCATCGGCGTTATGTTTTGCCATTACCTTTTTTACAGCTTTGGACTGGACATCCCCATTAACAAAGACCTTTTTGGTTACAAGTGTGATGATCCTTTTTTCTGTCGCCCATTCTTGCCTTTGCGTTTTTCGTACTCGAGGAAATGGGAAAAGTGTGGCTTAATGTATTTTGATACAAGAAATGATTATATTGATTTGGTCAACAGATAAAACGTGGAACTAAAAGTCCTTGCGCGAACTAGAAATTTATATGGTAAACATGTTACATACCACTAGGCTAGCCTTTCCAAAAATCCGGGGTTAGTTTCGGGGCTCAATGCCTACAGCGTATATCTGGTTTGATTTCATTGGATGATTATGTAATTTAAATTGACTGTTAACTAGTTAGTTAACTAGTTAGTTAGTTAGCGCGATAAGCGCATTTGAGCACCAGATAACAAGCGCCAGATAGATGGCCACATGATGAACGATCTGGATGGCCTTTCCATTGACCTCAACAATGCAGCACCCAGGCGAAATGCCTTCCTAACCAAGCATTCGCCCACAACATTGCTCTTAAAGGACTTTATTTGCCATCCAGATATCCAGCACACTAAATAACCCGCCCTGGCTGCTTGGATATTACAGTCGAAATGGCACACAAGTCACTCATTCCATTCCTGGTCGCCATGATGTTGGTGACTGGTGTTTGCAACACGATCCTTACAAAATACCAGGTCAATTTTGTTCTACATACCTTCCCACTTTTGGGCCAGTTTTCGCTGACAAGCTGTGAAATTAAAAGGACATGCAATGTGTTCGCAACTGCGATTCCCCCGACCCAAAAAAGCGGGTGGTATTTGAACAGCCTGTCGTCCAAACGTATGTTTTCAAAACCTCCCCTTTCTTAAATGCAAATGGGGTGATAATAATGGGAGCAGTCTACAAATGTTCATCGGAGAAATGGGGTGTTGGCTGGTTGTGTTGGCGTGCAAGTTCTGGAATCGGTATATCAGCCATCGGCTCGGCGGTTCCTCTGAAGCATCCCTTCTCACCGGTGGTTATGAGCCAGTTGACGGTGCGGACAATGATCTTGCCGAATCCGACGATGAATTAGACCCCACCTCTCCTTTAAATGGAAGTCCGCGGGCTTCGACTACAAAGCGCTCTAAAGAACATGATGGTAGAATAAAATTGAAAGGCTGGAAGGTATTCATGCTGGCTGCACCAGCATGCTGTGATATCACTGGTACTACGCTTATGAATGTCGGAATTGATATTTGTCGTTGCAAGCATATATCAGATGACGCGAGGTGCACTGGTGCTCTTCGTCGGGCCTTTTCAGCGGAATTTTTTTCTTCCTAGGAAATTAATATCCAATAACCAGTGGGCTTGTCTCTGGTCCGTTTGCTGTTCCTTGGAGTTGGCCTATACGGGATTTGCCCGTCTCTCATCTTTAAAGAATAAAACCTGAAAGCTCTGGGG